GAGAATTCAAAAAACCTGAGAACGAACTTTGGTTATAATAATTATTTAATGCTTTAATGTTGGAGTTAGACTAAAATAGAATTCATTCTAACTAATAAATATTAAATTATACGATAAAATTTGAAATGTTACGTGGCATGCGCCAGATTCTAACCTTCTCATTTCTATTTTCGACATATGAAGGATGTTAACATGGCAGCTTGCAGATTAACAAACGAGACAAAAACGTCCGCCATTATTTCGTCATTAACCACTGCGACTCGCAGATATTTGGATTATTGAAAGTGGCTCAGCACATCGTGCTCAAAATCGAAACCAACCAAAATGTCGTTTTTGTCAATCAAGCAAGGCGATAATTGCACTAAGACGCAAGGAGTTACTGAGAGAGAGAGTGTGTGAGAGAGAGAATGAGAAGACATTATGAGAAGAAACGACAATAAAAGAACAGGGTTCAGGAAGACAGAAGATGGCGATTGGCGATGCATCTAAATGTAGGCGGCAGGACAGCAAGAAACCGGAACATGTGACGTGATATAAAGAAACTATTAGAATATAACTTGCGGTTACATATAGTTATTTCAACAGTAAAATTGAGAGACCTAATTGACAATCTAGCAGTACGCTTAAATTCAAACAGCCGTTATATCAGGGAGAAGAATGATATTTATTCCGGACAAGGCCAATAAGGGGAATGGTGTAAAAAGGAGATGGTCTTCTACTGTCTTAACATTAAACTTTGATACCGACGATCATTGACCCAAACATACGACAATATTCCTAACACCAAAACAACACATTCTTACTTACCATTCTTAGAACATTCACCATAATGCCTCTATGAAAAACCTAACTGGCCACCATATATACAAATCATGTCTGTGAGGAGAAGGGAAGAAAATAACAATTTAAAAAGCTAAACCCCAATGAATATTTACAAATATGAAACAAAATTATTTATAAAAAAAAAAAAAAAAAATAGTGTTAGTAATAACAACCCCACACTCCTAAATTGTGGCAGAAATATCAGTTATCTCTAAGCTAAGCTAAGTTAATTATCAAGGAGGAGAGTGATATATATTTGTAAATATTCACAAAATGTGGCACAGGACCAGAGTAGGGAGATGAGGAAAGGACAGTCTTTTTCTGTCTTAACATTAAACTTAGCTAGCCACAAACACTGACCTTACATCAAAACAACGCATTCTTACTTACCTTTCTTGCTACACCCACCATAATACCTCATTGTCTCTATGAAAGTCCTAACTAGACCTCATATGTACAATTCATTGTCTGTGGGGAGTGGGGGAATAAAACAAGAATTTAAAATCTAGCCCCAATGAGTATTTACAATATGAAAACAAAACTATTTACATGAAATCAAATAAAATAATGTTAGTAATACCGCCCCCCCCAATCCTTAAATGTGGCAGAAACATCAGTCAACTGGACGAAATCAATGGGGGACTTTAATAATATAAAAACATTCATTCATTCCATGCACTCACTTAAACACACAAGGAGGAGAGCTCATTAGAACAATTGCCATGAAAATATTTGTAGAAAAGACAGAGAAAAGCCACGTCAAAGTAGAGAAGTCATGTCAGGGACGATAACATTATAGATCCTTCTTTGGATTTTGTTGAGAATCTCAAGATATATCTAGCAAGAGCACAAGACCAAACGTGACAGCCATATCCAAAGAAGTAGATTTATAAGTACGCAAAATGGATTCTGTCAAGAAGAAGGCCGGGTTCAATATGGGTTCAATAACTGGACAGAGCAGAGGGAGCAAAACTGGGAGAATTAATTGAAACTGAGAAATCCTAATAAGTCATTGCACGTGGAATTAGAACAATCTAATCCCGTTGAATAAATAAAGGGTTCAGTTCAAATTCTAACGGATATGACCAACCAATGTCGGAGCGTACAACGGCCGAAACTCCGTGAATATGAAAATAAAAATGAGAACAACAAATGATGTAAATAGAGTGAATACTTACTTACTATCTATCTATCTATCTATCTATCTATCTATCTAAATCTATTCATATATATCCAGTAATGAATACAGATATGCACAGATTAATATATATCACTAAAAACAATTCTGTTTGAAAATTTATTGATGCAGAAAGTTTGAAAATATCATGGCCTTAAGCCAGGCTACACTACAACACCAAAAGACATCGTGTGTTGGAGAGTCCCGTGGAACTGCCACATCAATCACAACAACAAAAGTTCGATCCACAATTACTAGCGCAGTATATATTTGGCATTCACTCAGAGACGTACCCACGCGAAGAAAATCCCAAAACATGCTTTGAAATTCCCTTTTTATTCGCTTAGAAGCCTTCGGTGTTTTCTTTGCGACAGAAATGGTTACTTTTTCGGTTTTCTGGAATCCAAGTTCTAAGCGTACCATTCCATTTGTAATTAGATACTCACAGAGGTTAGTTCTCATTATTTCAAAGACTAGCATCCATTTATGCATGACGGCATCTCAACAGAAAATACACCCGTCCATATCTATCTATCTATCTATCTATCTATCTATCTATCTATCTATCTATCTATATATATATATATATATATACAAATCTAGCTATCTAGCCATATATATGTATATATATATATATATATATATGTTCTAATGTAACTGTGCATGATAAATAAAGACATATATATGTGTGTTTATATATATATATGTGTGTGTGTGTGTGTGTGTGTATCAATCTATCTATACCAGTCTGTTCATATCTATCTATCTATCTATCTATCTATCTATCTATCTATCTATCTATCTATATGCCGGATAACATCAGAGAGTACTTGCTTAACTATCTCAAGAATCTTGATAAGAAGAACCTCGACAACGATCCGATTCGGACCAGAATTAAGGACTGGAGGCGTTGCGAGTACCCCCCCCCACATTGTGTAATCCACGTGGTTTGTGATATTTGGTTTATTGTGACTAATAAGGATCTTACTGTGATCGACAACATATCCCATATTTTAAGCCTTAACAGTGCCGCCTATACAGAGTACTGAACCTTGTGCTGACGTACTGTATCGATGAGCCTCCTGCCCAACAAGGGCAGTCTGTACAGGATTTAGAAACGTTCGATAATATCTTAGACTCAGGAGTAGCCATCCAAAATTTTCATGATTTTTTCACAGTCGTCTTCTGTTCTGAATCGTCTGGACTATTTATTAGATTTGGGACGTTGTCGAAGGGCAGATCAGACAGTAGCCTCCGTCCACAATACCCGTAAGAGATTCATTGAAGTCCGCCATTTTTCAAGTTGGGGTCCATGAACGAATATGAACGAATGTACTTCTTCAGAGGTTGGCACCAATTCTAACATCGATGCCCACATTTCTTTTCTATTTTTCTTATTTTTCAATGGCGCTATCGCTGCACCTGACGTAACCTTTAAGTGACTTAAATTTTAATTGCAGCAAACTGAAAACGCCTTCTCATAAATACACTGCGTGCTTTGCAATTTTTGAGAACCACTTGATTGACGTGGAAATTTCTTGAATATAGAAAAAAAAAATTAACATTACTCATTTTTAAGTCTGGCATAAAACAGTCGGAATTTTGAAAAAACATGAAAAGTTAAATAGACAGACATTCACGGTGTTATTCAATAAAGCCTGTTTAATTTTTATATATTATATATATATATATATATATATATATATATATATATATATTTCCGTCCTGGAATTTTTTATTTGAAAATACGTGAAATTGAGAAAAAAATAACATCTATGCATGAAGATGGTGGTTATATACATCGAAAGCTCCTTCAAAACAATATGGACCGAACATCTAATACATTATACAATTAATAAAAACAAGGATCGGGTCGTTCGGCGATTTAATGTTATATTTAATCTGTTAGCGAAGTGAATTCGCCATTAATTACATTAGCTTTATTGATTTATTCTTTTAATGACTATTTTATAATATTAATTATTTCATTAATATTATTCCTTAATATATATATATATTGCCATCTACTGACTGCCTCGCTGTATCACAGCTCATAAGTGTGGCTAGCTAAGATCAAAACCCGATTGAATTGGCATCAGTCAGGGATTCTACCACTAAGCCGTTGGCGTACGGCAGGGACGAAGGTGAATTTAAGTGCATTTGTTTTAGATAAACACACAGTGACTGAGAGAACTCGATTCGATTTACCGAAGATTCATGCATCAATAGCTGTAATAGTCACTGTTTACAAACAGAGAGCTCAACCTAAATAAATTTTTCAGCACACACACGTGTATATATATATATCTATATATATATATATATTTAAATAAATGCTCTCTTTATAATAATCAGTATTTACATTTACCACCCTGAAAGTCTGAAATTTCATTATATATATATATATATATATATATATATATATATATATATATATATATATATATATATATATATAATGTGTGTGTGTGTGTCATTCGCAGACACTACTGTTTCACCAGCTACTCGGTGCGACTAGACAACCAAATACCTCAAGCACGGTTCGAAACCTAACCAATTTGGTGTCAGTCAGGCCTCTACTACTGAGCCATCTTCACTCGACAGCCTGAGTCAGCCAAATCCAGTGTATTGTTTTATACAATCCTAAACAAACACCAAGCAGTCAAAGAGCTCCATTCATTTTACTGAAGAGTTTCGCATTTACGCAATTTTTTTTTATAGACATTACAGATTTTTGAACTTTTATCTTAATATGGATATGTAGATGTTAGTTTTCTGCGTCGGAAAGTGCCATGGACACAACACAAGTTCGATCCACAATAAATACCGCAGAATATATTTGCCATTCAAGAAAATCCCAAAAAAGCCTTCGGTGTTTTCTTTGCGACAGAAATGGTTACTTTTCGGTTTTCTGGAATCCAAGTTCTAAGCGTACCATTCCATTTGTAATTAGATACTCACAGAGGTTAGTTCTCATTATTTCAAAGACTATCATCCATTTATGCATGACGGCATCTCAACAGAAAATACACCCGTCCGAATCTATCTATCTATCTATCTATCTATCTATCTATCTATCTATCTATCTCTCTCTCTCTCTCTCTCTCTCTCTATATATATATATATATATATGTTCTAATGTAATATATATATATATATATATATATATATATGTCTATACATATCAATCTATCTATACCAGTATTTTTGAATCTGTCTCTGTTCAAATCTATCTATCTATCTATGAATCTATTATCTATCTATCTATCTGTTTATCTATGAGTCTATTAGTATCTCTCTATCTATCTATCTATCTATCTATCTATCTATCTCTCTCTCTCTATATATATATATACAAATCTTTATCTAGCAATATATATATATATATATATATATATATATATATATACATACATGTTCTAATGTAACACTGCATAATATATATATATATATATATATATATATATATATATATATATATGTCTATAAGTATTTTTTTTGGATCTGTCTGTTCAAAATCTATCTATCTATCTATCTATCTATCTCAGTCTGTTCATATCTATCTATCTATCTATCTCAGTCTGTTCATATTTATCTATCTATTTATCTATCTCAGTCTGTTCATATCTATCTATCTATTTATCTATCTCAGTCTTTTCGGATCTATCTATCTGCTTTAGTGTCTGCTTGGTTGGTTAACGGTCTGGTATCTGGCTTTTTGCCGGCTCACCTTACATGGAAAAACTGAAGGTACTTTATGTTGTCTTGGGAGGTGCGCTCTCTCTCTCTCATCCCACTTCTCTTTCCCTCACACACACACACACACATTTTCCCAGAACCGTCTGAATCATAGCCTGTTGCTGCCATTCTAGTTGTTTTCCATTATTATCTGGTAAACCTATTGTCTTGGACTTTCTAGGATATGCGCCGCGTGTGGTAAGAGGTGTCAGCCTCGCCCTCACCGCAAAGATATAAAGCAAGCATTCGTCCTTTTTAGCCTTTGTTCCTCGCAAGCTTCTTGCCTCTCTTTCACAATCAGCCCCAAATACACGTTCCGAATTCATCAATCTACCCTCCCGCCACTCAAATAGTCTCCAACCCCTATCAGCATTTAACTTTCCTTGGGGTAGAATTTACACACTCATGAGTTCATTGGGGAAAAATATCCGGTAAAATTGCTACTCAGATTACAACAAAAAGTGATGAAAGGCCAAAAATAATAATGTTTTTAAGAATCCCATTTTGGTTAAACTGAGAACTTTTCAGTAAGCCATAGAAATTAATGAAGGTTTATAAATACATAAATTATCTATCTATCTATCTATCTATCTATCTATCTATCTATATGAATGGCAACGCGGAAAAAATACCTAATTTTAATTATTTAATATTGTCCTGTGTTATGGAAATATATATAATATTATACTATATATATATATATATATATATATATATATATATATATATATATATATACTATATGTGTGTATATATTGATGTGGTAGGAAATAACACTTTGATTAATGATATAATTTTTTTTAGTATTTATGTTTTTTATTTTTAAAAAGCAGTGCTCGATGCCAAAGTAGAGCTTAAAATTATATATTTAAAAAAAAATATGATTGCACTGAGTCAAGAGGGTGGCTACTGGAAGACCCTATGTCTGGCAACAGGACACTGCACCATCCCACACAAGCAGGAGAACCCAGTCTTGGCTGTCAGACAATTTCTGCAACCACGTCACCCTTTATATCTGGCCACTTAACTCTCCAGACTTCCACCCACCCTGATTATTATGTGTGCGGCACAGTTGTACAAGAGACCAACAAAACTCCTTGTAGCATCAAAGATGAACTGAAGGCAAAGATTATGGCAGCATTCCTCCAGCTTAAACAAGGAGACCATCCAGAAGAGTTGCAGGAGATTCTGAAGTTGTCTGGAGGCCATGGTTGAAGCCATTGGCGATTTTATTGAAGAAATTTGCTCTTTAGTATTTCAAGATATTTTTGTGTAATTTTGGTAAATATATCTGTTAAAATGAGATGTCAGTGTTATTTTGCGCTATTTAGATGACAATTTATCCATCGCAAATTGCTTATATATATATATATATATATATATATATATATATATATATGGCAATTTGGTTATCTGTTAAAATGAGATGTTTCATTGAATAATATAGACATCTTGTTGCTGCTTAGTTTTGTATTGATGCTTTCCAGTTCTCTAATCATTTTTCTCGATGTTAAGATGAAAGGAAGGTGCCGTAGTTTTTTTAACCCATCTACTTTTGATCTTTTTGAAGTACTTGGGTTAGAAAAAACTACGGCGCCTTCCTTCATGAATTTTTATCGTAATTTTTAAGAGTGGAAATATTTAAAAAAATAGCACGCTAATTATTTGAGAAAAGCGTGCAATAAATGGAAGACCACCTAACCTGATGTTACGCAGCATGTTCTAAGAACACCAACTACCAAACAACGTGGACCATGACATGTTGGTACTTTCTCTAAGGTTTCAAGCTTAATGCCAACACTGCCTAGTTCGTGGAGGTGACCGTACGTGTTCCTCCAGTCTCTTCATATCTATCTATCTATCTATCTATCTATCTATCTATCTATCTATCTATCTATCTATCTGATCCCGGGTGGTATCATGTGTTAGGATCCCAACGATGAGCAAATACTGAACTCCCCAAAGAAAAACTAAAATCCTGGGAAAGTATAAAACGACTGTTTTATAATAAAAATACCAGCAATACATTGTTGTAAAAAAAAAAATCAACATTTTATTATAAAATGGCCAGGAATGCATTTTATAGTAATCAATAATACATTTAATATTAAATAATAAAAACCATTTCACTAAATAATATTATTAAATAGTATATAAAATGGCCAACAATACATTTTATAGCAAAATGACTAGCAAAATATTTTATAATAAAATTGAAGACATGGCAGACATTGTTAAAAAATAAAAGAAAACAAGAAATAATAAAAACACACAATTTACTATGATTAATTTAATTTCTTAAAAGCAGAAACAATTTTAATTTCTCGTTTGTTTTCCGTTAAAAGTCTTATATATAAAGTTCAATGTATGTATGTGTGTGTGTCCCAGCAACTCCTACGCCCCTACTGATCCGATTTCAATGATTCATAGCTCATTCAAAAGCCCTAGAAAAGTTATGCGCAGGGAACGATTTACGTTGAGCTCAGATTCAAGGTTGCCAGATTATGTGAGATTAAAAATATATATTAAAACATTATACTAGACATTAGTTGCTTTCATGGTTCAAGGGGAGTAACTCTCATTTTCCTTTTGTATCCAAAATTGCAGTGCACGTTTTATTATAAACTAGCTTAAAATCCGCCATATCGGGCGGCATTTAAGCTAGCTCCTGTGGAGGACTCCTGGTTTGGCCAACATCACAATAGCTAGGGAGGAGTAGATGCAATAGGCATCAATAAACTATAGAAGAACTCAAAATTGATCGCTGCATTTAAGTATTGAATTAATGTTTAAGCTTAACTTTTAAAAGTTCTACGATAATTCTTCTGCTGCCACTTAATTTGATGTACGTAGATCTTTATTTTCCATACAAACAATTTTTATTTCATGGGTGATAGAACAGGGGACAATTTATGAGATAAAATTAATATAATGTAAAGATTGGAAAATAGAAATTAGAATTAGTTATTCATTGAACATTTGAAGAGTTAGAGAAACATAATAGATAATTAAGTAAAGCTTATGGAGTCTATTTTACACGCGAATACTCAATATCTGTATTATATATTACCTACATCTAGGTAATATTACTCTTCAGGTTTAATTAATTTGCATATTGATTTTAAAAAGTTTATTTCATTAATCAACTGTCCTACAGTACTGTTCTTTTATTCGAGAATTGTTATGATTTTCATATCAAAAACAGTTCTGTTTAGAAATATCATCTTATATAGTGCAGAGAAGTGTTTGAAATTTGCATTTTACTTGGCCTTCAACAAGTTGGCATCTATTTGTAAAACTTTCCTTAACTATAACAAGCCAATTCATGGATGAAATTTTCATTTAAAATTTTTGTTTCATAGATTTCAAGTAGTGAATATATCTTACTTTGAGAAGCGATAGTGAGCGGGCGAAGCCTGATAGTAAAAAATACAGTTAAGTAATTATAATTTAATACTGAAAAAAAACAAAAAACATCGTCATCCAGGTTTTAACAATAAAATGTCCATTAGAAATTTAACAAAGAATTTAAACTGTCACAGACTTACGACAAAAAGAACTTTAAAAGTGAAAAACAGTCCTAGATTTAACTTTTAGTTTATTTCAAAGGATTGTACCTACAGATAGCTTATTTGGAGAGTCGATCAGCGGCCCACCGAACTTTTAGACTATGCGATATTCTAGTATATTACGGGGGAGAGGTGGCAATAGGTAGTAATGGGGTGGGCTGTCCCTAAGTGAATAGCGAGTAGCAACAGAGTAAAAAAGCAAAGAAAAATAAATAAAAAACACGATGGCTGTTATATATTAAGATTAATTGTAAATAAATAATGAAATAAGAACTAATCTGTTACTTAGGTTTTACTTTATTACCAAGACTGGAGTCAATAATCTGCAATAAAATTGACGGATATTGACTATGCAGATATGCTGTGGTGTCCTCCCTCTAATGAGTCTATTGTGGACTCTTCCACTTACTATAAAAATAGTAGGATAATAAGCCTTGTGGGAATAGCAGTACAGATTGTTCCACTGTCGAACTCTCTGCCCCGAGCAGAGAGGAACCCGGACGAGGCTTTGCCGAAGGGCAAAGTTTCGTCCAGGGAGGTAGACAGAACCTGAACCCGTTTATTCGGGTTCAAAGGGAATATTTTTGGCCGAACCTATGGGCTTGGAGAACCCACGATAAACTTAGTCTTGTGCCACATACATCTTTCGTAGGGGGGTGGCTGCTAAATATTAACAGTAGTATAGATTGAACGCTGCTCAACCGATAAACACTCCTAAGTCGTGTGATACTCTTCTGTTCAATGCACAATTTATCTGCAATCTCTTGTTTTGTTATTTCTTAACCATTTACTTGGTCACAACAAGATGCCTTAGCTATCTCTGCAGACAACATTACAAATGCCACAGTTCTCCTACATCATCTAGAAAATGTTGAAACCGATGTTAGACCCTGTGTCAATGCTTTTAAAACTAAATTCATAGGCTTCAGCCCACAAGGCCAACTACAGATTGTTTCAGCTTAATCAATAAAATCTGTCAAAACTTTTAATAATTAGGAAGCAAGATACATTCTACTGAAAAAGATGTGAAAATTCGCATGTCTTAAATCCTGTTCCGCCTTGAATAAAATGGATGTAATCTGGAAATCTGATCTACCAGTCAACCTAAAATGGAGATTCTTTCCAGCCACTCTAGAGGCGGTGTTAATAAATGGTGCAACTGCCTGGACATTAACTAAAATCTTACAGTCTAAGCTTGATGGAACCTACAATTGGATTCTGATAATTTTATTTAACATGTCTTGGAGTCGACATCTAACTAAATCACAACTCTATAGACCCATCTCTGATATTTCTAAAATGTTACACGAATGCAGAATTCTCTTTGCAGGACGCGAGTGGGTGATTTACTGTTCTGGGCACCTAGCCATGTTGCAAGACGGGTTGGTTGGCCAGCTACCACCTATATTGACCAGCTATGTAATGACACAGAATTCGACCCTAAAGACCTTTCAAACTTGATGCAGGACCGTGATGGTTGATATGATAGACTCGTGAATGTCCAATCTTGCTCGAACGAATAAGAAGAAATGAAATAATGTGATTTTCTTGAATTAATTATAAAGTCTGAATTTTCATATTTAGATTCCAGCATTAACAGGGTTGATATGCCGCTGAACAAAATCAATCAACCAATCATATTTGGATTTTTTTCAGTTAATTCCTTCCCCAAATAATGTAAAGTTACTTATCGCAAATATTAATTCAACCCGAGAAATTATAAATTCTGAATCAATGTTTGTTTTTTATTGAATTTTTGGTACTCTTTTGAAATTATAAAATTT